GAATACTATTGGACATGGAATAAATTTTATGAATGAATTTTTCTCTAGAAATTAGAAAAAATAGAGAAAGTAAGATTATGAAGGTTAATATATGTGTTGAAAGTAAAGAGGTTGATAAATATAAATGTAATTGATAAAAACGTAATTGATCTAGCGAAAGAAGAAATTAGTATTGTTATTATACCATTACTATTGCTAATAGTTTGTATGTTGAGATTTATTACCAATATATGTTGGTCGTGTTCTATTTGTAAATAATGCTCTGTCAATGCACTGTTATTCAAAAATGTTTATGAATGAAAATTTATAAGAATATTAAAATATTAAAAAATTTAAAAAAGAAAAAGAAAGTGCTTTAATCATGTTTGATTTTGTGATTCTAGATATATTTTCTCCAATAGATAGTCCTTGACTTACAAACCATTTGTTTAGTGACAAATGTTCAAAATTATAACGGCACTGAAAAAAGTGACTTATAACCAATCCCCATAATTATGACTGTCACGGCATTCCTATGATCACACGGTCACAATACAGGAACCTGGCAATGGCATATGTTTATCATGTTTGCAAAGTCATTAAGCGAAGCTGGATTTACGTAGCAACCACACAATTTGCTTAACTGCAGTTGATTCACTTAACAATTGGAACAAAAAAAATGTTTGTAAAATCAGGTGCAACTCACCTAAAATCACCTTGCTTAGCAAAAGAAATGTTGATTCTAATTGTGGTGGGAAAGCAAGGATTACGTGTAATTTCCTCTCCTGTTCTGGACATTAATAGAATAGAATTCTTTATTGGCCAAGTGTGATTGGACACACCAGGAATATGTCTTGGTGCAAATACTCTCAGTGTACATAAAAGAAAAGATACATTCGTCAAGAGTCAAGCAATCAAGGTCAAGGTACAATACTTAATAATAGTTATAGGGTACAATAAGCGCTCGAATCATACTGGGAAACAGTCAATATAAATTGTAAGGATACAAGTGACAAAGTTACAGTCGTAAGTCACAAGTGGGAGGGGAAGGGTGATAAGGAGTGATGAGAAGATTAGCAGTAATAGTAGTGCAGACTTTAATAGTTGAACAGTGTTGAGGGAATTATTTGTTTAGCAGAGTGATGGCCTTCAGGAAAAAACTGTCCTTGTGTCTAGTTGTTCTGGTGTGCAAGTGCTCTATAGCGTCGTTTTGAGGGAAGGAGTTGAAACAGTTTATGTCTGGGGTGTGAGGGGTCTGTAAATATTTTCACTGCCCTCTTTTGACTCGTGCAGTATACAGGTCCTCGATGGAAGGCAGATTGGTAGTAATTGTTTTTTCTGCAGTCCTAATTATCCTCTGAAGTCTGTTTCTGTCCTGTTGGGTTGCAGAACCAAACCAGACAGTTATAGAGGTGCAGATGACAGACTCAATAATTCCTCTGTAGAACTAGATCATCAGCTCCTTGGGCAGTTTGAGCTTTCTGAGTTGGCGCAGAAAGAACATTCTTTGTTGTGCTTTTTTGATGATGTTTTTGATGTTAGGTATCCACTTTAGGTCATGTAATATAGTAGAACCTAGAAATTTGAAGGTCTCTACTGTTGATACCGTGTTGTCTAGTATTGTAAGAAATGGTAGTATGGGAAGGTTTCTTCTAAAGTCTACCACCATTTCTATGGTTTTGAGTGTGTTCAGTTCCAGATTGTTCCGGTTATACCACGAGGCAAGTTGTATAACCTGTCTGTATGCAGATTAAGCTTATTCGCAAAGTATAAATACTGAGTTGCTGGCAGTGTTAATGATTTGCACAGTTCCTTCCCTTGACTTCTTCACATCAGTTTCAGTGGCAGTGGATATCAGACTGTCCTTATCCATGATAGTTCACTCCTTCAGGGCAGGTATAAGAAAACACCAATAGCACAATGGGTATATATATGTGGTAAAGGAGAAGTCGAAGATATCTTTTTATGTTTTATTGTACTGTGAGTTATACAGAGTTTATAGGTCAGTGTATATTCTCCCCTTACTAGAGAAATTGCCATGGAGGGCAGACAATTTTTATGTAGGCTTTCTCCTCCAGAACTCAAACCTGGCTATTACGTGTGCAATGGCAAAATTCTGTGTTGCTGCAATGTCTACAAGAAAAAAAATGGTTTCGGAATTATAGCTGTCACTTTATGTCTATTTTTGGAGATATAACGATCTTTGGAAAATAATATTTACACACATACTTATTGGCTCTCCACTCATAAACCAGGGAGTAATCCTAACTGCTTGAGAACAGGTATTTTCTTAACAGGGATGTTATTACCCACTATTAATGTACTATAATGTTTCAGTACTATTTTTATATATATTGTAAATAGTGGTGTCTATTGCTGGTCTAAGACTGTAATAAAGGTATATTCCTCTTCTATCCATGATAATTAAAAGGAAGTTGTCAGCATTATGAGTAATGCACCCATGGAAAACAGAACTCCTCAGCGAACAGTTTATTGGATACTTCATATTGGAACAACTGGTGAAAGCCAACTCTGAATTTTCCTGCACCTTTCCCCTGGTTAAAAGTAAACATCCCCCACCCCACCCCAAGTCATTCATCACGCTGTCCAATCCAGGTGCTGGTTGGTTGCTTGGTTACTTGCTCTTCCTCTGGTCAGCCATCTGTGAGAATGTCCTTGGTTCCCACAGGAAAACTTTATTGTTTTGGCTACAACACCCTGTCTTAATTATTCCCCCCTCCTGCCATTGGTGTGGCAACCCTGAATCCTCCAAGATATCCCCGGCCAGGTTCATCTCAGGGTTGACAGTAGTTGCACTGACTTCCGTTCATAGAACTGATGCTGGATTTCGAAGGACAAAGCAATAAAAAGCATTTTTGGGGTTTATTGAATAGTGCTTGTGATGTCATTCAGAAAAGGTTAAGACACAAGGCTAGAAAGTGCTTTCGAGTATACAATATATTTGATTAATTTCTCCACAAGCATGTAACAAGATTAGGACTGTGGAGTGATCTGGATTCAAAGGGTAAAATATGATTAGGAGTTTATCTGTATCCACTGTTCACAACTTTAACCCTGGACCAAACCGTTTCCTCAGTAATGACCTAGAAACAAGGAAACAGTGAATTCTACTCCTGTCTTAGGCACTAAGCTGAGTGACTCTGGGCCAGTCACTCTCTCTCAGTCCAACCTACCCCACAGGGTTGTTGTTGTTGTTGTGTGGAAAATAAGAGGAGAAAGGTGTGCTAGATATGTTTCACCACCTTGAGTTATTTATGAAAATAATAAAGGCAAGATATAAAAATAAGTAAGTAAGTAAGTAAAAGTAAGTAAGTAAATGAATGAAAGAATTAGTAAATAGATAAGTAATGAATGAATGAATAAATAAATAGATAAATAAATAAATAATCCGAAAAAGCATCATTCCTCTCTTCTTCCCTGTAGCTATACAGGTAGTCCTTGACTTACAACAGTTCATTTAGTGACTGTTCAAAGTTACAATGGCACTGAAAAAGTGACTCATGAATATTTTTCACAACTTATAACAATTGCAGCATTCCCATGGTCACGTGATCAAAACTCACTGCTTGGCAACCGCCTCATATTTATGATGGTTGCAGGATCCCCTTTTGTGAGGTCATCCCCTTTTGCGGAAGCCAGATCCGCTTAACAACTGTGTTACTAACTTAACAACTGCAGTGATTCACTGAACAACTGTGGCAAGAAAGTTGGGGCATAAAATGGGGAAAAATTCGATTAACAAATGTTAGCAACAGAAATTTTGGGCTCAAGTATGATCAGAAGTCAAAGACTACCTGTATGTGATGACCCAGAGTATATCAGAAATATAACAAAAACCAAAATCTAACTAAAATCCTTGAATGCCTTCAACTTGGCTTCACTGTTTAATTGTTCATAGTGGAGGAGTAAACTACTGTATTTTCAAAATAACATTTCAAAGGAAAGAAACACAGTTCAAATTCAAAGAGCCAATAAGGAAGCAAAAACCAAAAATAAACAGCACTGAATAAAGTTCCAGGACAGACCAGGATAGATAATTGCCAACTTCAGGAAGATAACCAGGGACAGTTTGTTGGAAGAACACCAACCAAGATAAACCTTCTTTAGGAATAAAACACTACTTTGTCTCCAGCGTCTGTTAGCACACAGGTCCAATCTTTTATGCAGATCTCACACCTGCAACCCATGAAGAGGATCATGGTCCTCTCCTCCCAAGTAGACCATAATTTTCCCTGATCCTCTCCTTCCTGCGTGCCCTAGGATTGATAGGGGATGGGCCCGGGTCCTCCTCTGACTGCCCAGCCGGCCTCAGCCCTTCCACAGCCTCCTCCACCACCTCTGGAGCCACCCTTCCACTCCCTGTTGGTTGTTCCTCCTCTTCCTCAGAGTCAGTCTCCACCAGGGGCATGACACTGTACAAGGCTATTAACTGTATTTTGTTTCTTTGGATTTAAATGCTTGGAAACCAGGCATTTCCTGGGCAGATGCACAAACGGGGACTTTATGAAAAGGAGAAGCACAAATCAGCAGCCAGCTTAATTTTTATTTTATGTTTTCTGAGGCGAGAGGGAATTCCCCGCTACAGCCTTTTCCCTTAGAAGTTCATAGCTTGAGCACATCTGGGTCATTCTGGATGCAAAGCTGGCTGAGGGATTCTGGGAGTTGAAGTCCACAAGTCTTCAAATTGCCAAGGTTGGAGACCCCTGCTCTATACATCACTCTGTTGTCAATGAACATTTGATGTCCTTGACGGTTGTGAAAAAATGCCCAGTGGTTTCCTTCTTAAGGCAGGTACACAGTAATTGTTCTATTCTCAGGAAAGGTCATTTTTAGGAGATGGAAAAAAAAGCAGAAATTGCAATATAACCCTTGTAAAGAATGACTGAATGAAGCCGGACAATTCCAGACTAGACTCCTAATTTGGAAGCAGTTTCAATCTCTGAAGAATAATGAAAAACAAATCTTATTTAGGTGTCTTTCCTTCCATTTTTCTCCTCTAGTACTAAAAAGAACAGTGACTCCTGAAGAACTTCTGAGGCCAGGGGCTCCCTATGCCCGGAAAACATTCACTGTAAGTTTGTGTTTCACATTTTTATTTTCTGCTGTTTATCGCATTCAATTATTTATTTATTCTCCACAAAGGTTTGTGCAGTGTGGAGACCACTGCTTAGAATTTTAGCTATTAAATTTCAGGTGCTGAATTTGACCATGGTGTAAAGCTGTCCCATAGGTGATTTTTTTTTCAAGAGGCAACCTGACTTTTTTTTAAAGACGTTTCTCTTCTCAACCAAGGAAGCTTTGATCCAAGAAACAAAACGTCTTCAGGAAAACAACAACAGAAAGTTTTTGGGATAACCATGACCTGGATGACTGAGAATCTCCATAGACACGGTGTAAAGCTATTTTCATTCAGTGGTGTAGAAATAACATGATTTCGAAGTCATCTGATAAATATGATTAACAAGATTAGGGCCATAATGTGTTTTTATGTGTCCAGCTGGAGATGGAGGTGGGGTGTCAGAAAGCCAAACAGAATTGGACTGGGTTGGGACTTGAATGGACGCTGGCAGAAAATGTCAAGGAAGTAGGCTAGGAAAAGACAATGGGCAAGTTGCTTCAATATCACTGCCGATGAAAACTACATGAACAGAGACACGCAGTTGCCAGGAACTGAACTGGACAGATATACAGATAGACCTTGACTTATGACCGGTCACTTAAAAGCCGTTCAAAATTATGATGGTCCCTCCAAAAGGGACTTTACAACCTGGTTTTATAGTTCCACTGTCACCCCTCATCATGGTGCTGTGAGAACATTTTTGGCACTCAGCAGCCAGCCCTATTTATGGCCCATAGTCATAAGAGCCATGGTGGCGCAGTGGTTAGAATGCAGTACTGCAGGGCTAACTCAC